GAGGAAACGTTACTTTGATCTCTATATTTTGTGGAAAATAACCTGGGCAGCAGCAGGCCACTAACTTCTGTTACCTTTTGTGACAAAGTCAAGCTGTTGATATATGTAGGCTTCTCTTACAAGTTACCTTAATTTAGCTACTTTAAACTCCACCTAATGTAAGCTCTTGGATTTCAGAAAGCAAATGACAAAAGCAACCACCAGTTTAAATGTCATATTTTTGTTTATACAAATTACAATTGCAATATGGCATTGTCTCTCTTTTAAATAGTACCTGATCACTTGTGCAGTCTCTTACTCCACAGGATAAAAAGGCAGAGCATGTATTTTGAATGTCTCTCAAAAGTTTGCCTGTGTGAGGTCATGGAGAGTGATGGATAAAGGCACATGGATATTAATGATGCCTGTGAGTGTCGGAACCAGCTCCTGGTAATGTACCAAACTGGAGCACTAACCAGAAGTCTGTGAAGCTGGTGTGCCTTGCAGCTTTCAGGAGTTTTCAGGTCTGTTAACAGACCTCCCATCCATAGAACCAGTTCAGCTTTTCCATCCTCATTAATCCAGGAATGATACCTGCCCAGACTCTTAAAAACAAAAGACTGTAGGATGCTGTCCACTTTTCTATTCTAGGGTTTCCCACCTTTACAGCAGAATGAGAACAAAAGCCTCATCCTTTTTTAGTATAAAATGCTGTCTTGGCATAAACCCATCTTTATCCACAAGCTGAGATGCCTCCTCTGCCTTACTCTTCTTCGGCAGGGGACAGATAACTGGTGATGGCAGTAGCAGATATATGTCCTTGGATACTCTCTTTTGGACTAATAGGACCACTGGTGACTGAACAGAATGACTGGCAAAGGACTAGCAAGTGACCAGAAGTCAGTCTGTCATTTTAAATCGTTTGGAAAGGAGAGAGGGAGCAGCAGCAGTCTAAAGTGGATTTGATTCAGCTCATAGATTTTATTCTCTGTTATGGATGGCAGCTTTGTACAGTATTTCATGGCACAGCATACTGTCTCATGAGGTTGCTGTAATTTCAGCAGGAATTCTTCTATCTGTGTGATGTGGTTTTTACTTTGTCTATAAATATAATAGCAAGAACTTCAGCTACATCATGGCCAGATTTGAAACGGCTCATATTTTTTCAATTAGTTTATTCTTTTTATTGTCACGATTATTCATTTTCTCTTACGTGGAAAAACGCTGCATTATTTTAGGGAGTGTCCTTTACTTCTTGAATTCCTACTGTAGTTCATTCTCTTCTGTTTTAGTTCTGACTTTATCCAAAATGGTTGTATTTTTTATTTTCTTGGTTTTCTGCTCTAAGTAGTAAATACCAAGTTTTGGGTTTAAAAACCTTCACTGATCTTTTAATCTATGATGTTATCATTGTATATCTGTGTGAGAGTGCTATTCATAAGTGTCATTGTTCCTTAAGCCTCAAATAATCTGATCTGTGGATATGAAAGATTGTGTTAGTTTTAAGAAACCAGCCTTATTGTATGAATGTGAATCGATTATTAATTTCATTAAAAGGTTTTGACCTAAACAGGGTAAATGGAGAAATGAATAAATTGGAGCCTCAAGATGGCATCAGTTCTTTAGATTTGACTTGTTGGATTCTTTGCAAAGAAAAATTTGATATGCTTTGTAAGGAGTACAATAAAATAAAATGTCAGTGATGATGACAAAGTTTCTGACATACTTATATCTTTGGTTTCCTGGAAAAATAATGACAAAGGCACCACCAGTCTAATTTCAGCAGTATTTCGTGTTCTGCAGTGTCTCAAAGTTCTTACAAGAAGCTCCCAAGTCAATTTGTGGCATGGAGATAGATGATAGTGTCTGTCATGTTGTGGGTAGGTCTGTCTTGCTTACATGATTGTCCTTTGGCAAGGTGATCAAGCTGACAGATTCAAAAAGTAAGATGTCAGCAGAATTAATTAATAAGCACATCTGAGCCCATAAATCATAGAGCATTATGTGTTATCCACTTAGTCTTTATGGATGGTGCTAAGGGTGTGCAAAATGCGTGTCTGAAAAAACATAATCTGGATTACAAGAAGTGAAAAGGTCCAATATTAAGCACATCTTTGGTTGTTCTGATGGTTAGCTCCCTTACAGTTAAAACTTACTTCGTTTTGAATATGACTTTCGTATTAACTTTGCAGCTGTTAATTTTGTTACACTATTAATTTTGGTGCCCTATTCTATGTTAAACTTCTAAAACAGCTAGTATTTTTTAATTATTTGAACACTGGAGTCTTTATGTACACAGTTCAATCTTTTTAATATTCAAAGCAGTTTAGGTTCTCTGATTCATGCTGTGATAAATTTTCTCCTCCTTTCAAATAACTCCTCTTCTCTGTACCCTGACTAATTTTTCAACATACTTTAAAAAATGTGGATACTGGAACAAGATGCAGCGTTCCAGTGTCCTTGCAAAGGTAAGATTACCACCTTACATCTATTGTGTCCGTATATCCAAAAGAATGTTTTTTTTTTTTTTTTTTTTTTTTTTTTGTTATGGCATCACATCTTGAGATGCATACCTACTGTAATTACAAAGTTCTTCAGAGTTATTGCTTCTAGGATTTTGTCTCCATTCTGTAGATCCTTCCTGTAGGTGGCAAATGTACTCTGGTAGTAAAATACACAACTTGGTCTTGGGTTGAACTCAAAAAATTAAAAAAAAAATAATTATTCAAGAACATAGCTGCCCTCCTCAGTATTTAGTTTCAGCATTCTTGGTGACGTACATATGTTTACTCTAGAGACTTGATGAAAATGTTGAATACTGCTGAGTCTGTTATCTGTTGTCATATATAGTGAGACTTCCCCTCTAGTGACAAAAGGTTTGTGCAAGTGAGAACCACAGCTCTTGTTGGCTTCCCCAGCACAGTTAGAGCTGCTGCACTCAAAGTTGGAGAGGAGGATACTCTGAGAAATTGTGAAATGGCATTTGTTTTCTAATATCTCTATTGCTTAACTTTATCTCTGCAAAGCAAGAGGTTATATAATTAAAACTGCAATAACTGTTTAATTCCAATTTGTTTGATGCCCTAAGTACCAGATAACATCTACCTCAGTAGGCTTGAACAGAGAGAAGAAGTATCTCTCTAGTTATACACTGGCAGATAAAAAGATGGTAGGAGTTCCACAATTTGCTTTTGTTTCCTTACTATTTGGTAAAACAGTTTGGGTCTTACTGGGTTTATGAAATCTGAACGTGTGGGTGGAAATGGCAGTGAGCAATGGAAGCCTCTCGGATTTCTTGGGAAAGTCCTCCTTTTAGATGAGGATCAGGCCAAAGTGCTACATCATACAGTTTATCCCAAGGTATGTTTAATTTTCATAACCAGCTGTCGCTGAGTCAGTACCCTCAAAATAGTATCCCCTGTGAAAAACACAGCACAAGAAACTTTCAGATTTTACAGTTACCTTCTAAAGTATTCTACAATCATGGCTAGAAAAACAGATGTTTTGGGGGTGGCTGGATGACAATGGTCTTTTCAGAGTATTTGTGCTATATAGCTGGAACATAATCATGGGATTCATATCCAGGGAATATGTTTGTATCTTCAGTTTTCTAAGCCTGACTTCTTAGAGCACTTCACAAGATGCACTTTGGGGAAAAATGAAATAAAATTTAAAAAAATACTCTACTCGCAGTAAGCGGAGGAGCAGGAACAGGAAGTGAGCCTGGCTCAAATGTGAGAGGAGTCAAGTAGAACAAATGTGTCCTTGAATGCTAATGAAAGAGTGGTGATGGGACTTTTTAATGGTGGGAGTTGGCACGTTGAGTAGGTTTTTGTTGTTTGGTGTTTTTTTTCCCTTTAACTCAAAACTGTAAGTTGCACAGCAAACTTGTATACAGGTTTTCTTTCCATCCCTTTTGGCTTTGATAGTGTTCACCTCTCACTGATTTCACACTCGTTCGGGATACTTGTGCTGAGCTGCCATTCCCTGATGCCTCCACAGCTTTCTTACCCCTGACTTTACCTGGTCATTTGGTTATCGTGATAGTCTGTTATTTCATACATATCTGTAGTGTAAGTATAGTGCAGTGCACATGTGTATGAAATGTTTTTAAAATTATAAAAGATGTCTCAGGTAATGTAGTGAACAGCTGGTCCCTAATGAATCTAGCACTTTGTTTCTTCTATTATTTTAAAGTCCCAACTCTTTAATTTTTTTTTTCTTAAGCCTGATCAGATAGTCTTGTATTGGCATAATTATTCTTGTGCTAATAGCTGCCATTCAGAATTGTTACTTACGTCCCAATGGTATTTTAATGACCCTGCTTTATATAAGGTATAGCAACATAATTATCTGAACAGGTGAATGACATGAAGCATATGTATAACTGAATTGCATATTGCCTGTCATTTTTCTGTGCTTGGAGCAAAACAAGAATTTTCCCTGAACACAGGTGCCCCTGGGGTGTTGCTGTGTATATGTTCTAAAATGTCTGCTTAAAACAACAAATTTATGCAAGAAATATGTAAAAATCTGTGTATTCTGAGAATATGGGCAGCTGTAACTCATAGAAATAGCACAGGACATGCTGTTTTCTACAGTGAAGGCTTCAAAGAATTCTGTAGTGCGTGGAGTGCTGTTGTGATGTGAAAGAGAACAAGGGGTTCCTGGAGAGCTAAAGTTTGATGTACAGGTTACTTCAGCATCAGCTGAGGTAGAACAGTTTTACTTATTGTTTATGCTGACAGTAGTTTTCTAATAAACCCAGTAGAAATTGAGGTAACGCATCCAGAATCTGCACTGGTGCTTTATGCGTACATGCTGTTTGACTTCAGTTCACAGACTAAAGCACCCACATGCTACATTTCCTGTGTCTTTGCCACCTTTTGTGTAAGTGATAAGCTGCATAGAAAGTGGGAAAGTATTGCTGTAGTTCTTGTTCTAACCTTCTGTTTCATCACTTCTAATAATAGCAAGCAAAGAATCATTGTTTAGTAATGCTAATAAATTTATTTTTTTAGGATCTGGTCAACACTGGACTCAGCACTTTCTTCTTTTTCATTGCCTCTGTAGTACTTGCTGCTTTAAACCATAAAACTGGAGCAGAAATTGCTGCTGTGGTAAGAATATGAACTTCTTTATATATGACTCTTATCTTCTATTAAAACTAATAATGACTTTTCCTTTGTGTTCATTGAATGGAACTGTTGCTTTGCCATCACAATTTACTTCTGATTTTACAGTTGGCTATAAGCTAGTTGTGATTGAAAAAGTATGGGCATCCTTTGAGTTGTTTGTCTTCAGGCAAGAAAAACAGAAAAATGACTTGCAGAGAACACTTCAATAGTTGCCTTGCTTTTTCCTCTATAGCTAGCTTAGATGATACTGCTCTATAGTGCAAGCTTACAAAAAAGATAGAGCCAAAAATTCACAAGAAAGAGGAGCTACTTACACATAATTTACTGAATTCTTCTTGCTTGCTACAGATAATTTTTGTTCTGTGGAGTGAGTATAGTAGTGCTTCAAGATTTTAAATCCAGAACAGTAAGGTCACGCTAATAAATTTTGTGCTTGAGTTGGCAACTTCTCTTTTTTCGTCTTTCAAACCTGGTATTGGAAATCACACAGCAGTTCTGCAGAAGCGTGTAGGAAAAACTGCAGATTAGCTCCTTCTCCAGGCTGATGGTCCGGCCTGTTCGTCTGTTCTCTTGTCATTCATTCACTGGTATGTGCACCCTGAGGAATGAACTGTTGGATGAGGAGCTCTAGTCTTCTTTACAAGAGGTTCTTCCATTAAAGTTGCATTGCAGGATTTAATTGTCATGTTTTTTAGACAGAGAACTTTGTTTTCTGGGATCATTGATCTTAGTCACTTTTGCAGATTCTCTAGTCCATTGAAGAAGAAAAACATGAATTTCATGGGCCGTGATGATTTGTCAGTGCAAATAAAGTAGAAAAATAAGCTTCTGAGGAATTTGTTGTGAAACTAGTATTGTTCTTGTTTTCAAAAACTGTCTTTGACAATTCTTTCTACTTCTTATAGATATTTGGTTTCTTGGCAATGGCAGTGTATGCTGTGAACACATACTTAGCTATTAAAAAGTGGCGAATGAACAGCAGACAACAAAATAGTCGGCAGACCAGTGATTACATACGTGCTCGGACAGAATCCAGAGAAGTAGAGCATCGCCCTGAGATTCAGCGTCTGGATGCATGAAGCGACATTCAAATGGGACTGCAAAGGGAAAAGAAGTAGTGCTTAACTCCCCCATGGAATAAAGCGTTTTTGTTTAAGGAAGAAAAGGAAGATCAAATGGTGGCAAAGAATGCTCAGCCCTGCATATGTGCAGAGATGCATTGAGTCAGAAGCTGTTGTCATGAAGGCAGTAAATGTTGGTCATTAAAAAACAAGATCTGTTTAAGATGTCCACATATATATACACATATATTATATAGCTTATATAATATATTATATATATATGTTTTGAAGTATGTTATTGTTTTGGATAAACTGCACGGTACGTTCCTTCCTCTCCCAAGTGCAAGCTCTGGCACTGTTTCTTTATCTATTGTAGACAAGACTAGCACGATATTGGTTGATTAATATAGGAAAGAAATCCACCAAATGTAAATTTAACAAATGCAAAAAGGAAGGAAGGGGCAAATAGCAATAACTTTAGCCATCTATTGTGTCGAACAAACCCTCTGTGTACAACCTCATGCAGCCTCAGCAGTGCAGCTCAATTCTTATCTGCAGGATCTCCTGCAGTTTCACAGTTGGTGCACTTAGCTGTAATGGACAACCATTTCACATTTTTTGTTTCACGGATAGTGTTGAGGTAGTTACCCTGTGGGTTACTCTGAAATTGCCATATTGAGTTCATGCATGGCCTTGGCCAGGTCTGAACTTGTGCAAAGTTAGCATGTCAACCTTTCTGAGAAGTCTAGGGTAAGCAAGAACTAGCAAAAAAATATGATGTGCTTGTAAAGTGTTTCTAAGGTTGCAATATTGTGATTCATGTAAGATAAATATTTTCCTTTTTGGGAGGTTGGTTTCTACTAAAATTAAAGCTGTTGGTAGTAGGTAAAACTGATTATTTTTTTTGTTAATTGGGTGTTTCTGCAAATTTTATCCCCTAATATTTATTTGGAAAATCAGTTTAGATAATTGGAGGATAATATGGTTGTACTGATTGGTTTAGTAATAGTTTTACCTAACTGAAGTTCTCTTATTTTAATTGTACTTTCAGTGAAGAGAAGGGTATTTTCTCTACTCAAAACTCAAATTCTGAAATGATTGGTTAGACAGTATCATAGTGGTGTTAGGAAGATGTTCCTTGATATGTTTCTGGGTTTTGTTTGGTGTGTTTATCTCTGCGATTCATTATTTGGCATATGCATGCCCGCGTGTTACCTGAAGAAAATGGGTCAGGGAGATCTCTAGAGCTGAATTCCTTTTGGGTGTAGGCTGATTAAATCCTTGAAATTAGCAGAGCTGTATGCCATGTACGCCTGAATTTGTCTCACATTTGACTTGAACACTTTTTACGTTGTGTTCTGTAGATTTTTCTTAACGAATAATGGCTTACCAGTTACTATAGTAGCATTTTATTGTGCATCATTGATAGTTAATGCCAAAGGGAACACCAGTTTAAAAAAAGATCACATCATATAAGCAAACGTCTAGTGTTGGGTTTAGAACATAGACATTTTATTGAGGTGGGTGTCTCACCAGGATTACTGTGTGACAGTAAAGTAAATGACAGTTCCGTGTTCAGTGTGATATGAAATAACAGATTTTCCTATTGCCGGTACAGTTATTACAGCCCTGCTGTTTTTCAGCACTCTGTCTAGTATTGGCAAAATTTGCAAGAAGAGTTTGTAGATATTAACAGTTATTAAAAGAAGTTTTTAAAAGTAGCACAAGAATACCTAGACCGTAAGCTGGCATTAAAGCAGTTTGTATAAAAGTTGTTTAAAAAAAACCCAAGAAACCCACCCTGCCAAACCCCCCCCAAAACCCACACAGCAAAAACCCAAATCCCCTGCTCAAATACAGAATATTGTCCTCCAGAAGATCCATGCTTTTAGAGTGGAACCCTCATATCAAGAAACAGAAGTTAGGTGATGCATAGCAAAGGCTTTTCCTTAGGAGTTTGTTCTCTTTGCTGCTTAATTCTTGTGTGTCTGTAAGTTTATGAATTTGGTATCTTTCAAATCCTTACACATTTCCTTACCTAGAAAAAGGTAACTTCACCAAGGTTTTTCTGGAGTGAGATCATGAAAAGCTTTTGTTACCTTTTAGCTGGAATGACAAATGCAGAGTCATACAGTTATACTTCTAATACAGTGTGATACTTCGCCATGTAGTATAGTATACCCAAATGACCTTGAGTGCTTTTCCATGTGAAGTAATTTTCCTTGAGCCAAGAACAGTATGCCATTATTTATTACTTACATCATGACTTGAGTTTAGCACAGATTTCAGGGTAGAATTCAAAGAGAATATTAATTTAATACTATCTGATACACTTTGTAAAACAAAAACAAATGTAAATTTGTAATTTCCCTATTTTAGGGACCAAAGATGGTTTTAGTATTGTACAGTATATACTTTCTAAAAATCTAAGTTAAGCATTTATTACTCTACAGAGACATTATTTACTGTTTGGATTATATAGAAGGGAAATAAAGTAGCTGTGAGAGACAGCTTAATTTGAAACATTGATTCTCCACCACCCCACCACCCCCTGACTTAATTTTTACATAGTGTATTGAAGAGGTGGTTATATTTTAAGACTGTTACCCAAGACTGCAGTTATTATAAAAAAAAAAACCCCACAACCCACCTCTAAAGGAAGAAATAGGGTAGAAAGTTTAAATTTTTTTTTTAACTTACTTAGAGAAGTAACAATTGCTTCTCCCAGGCAGTTAGTCTTGCTTGTAATTGCTGATCATATAGGGATAATTTCTTTTAGTCCTTAAGAGTGCTGTTTAGCTCCATAAAGGGACTCAAAACTCACTGTAAATAAAACTAAATTAAAGCTAAACAGTTGAATCTTGTAGGAATGGAATGGTAAAAACTGTAATGATTCTGATTAATCCTCTTTCATCAAACTAAGCCCTCAGATACACAGTCTGCATGTATTTCTGCATGTAGAAATGATGGTAAATTTTGCAACCTATGCACAGGAGTCAAAAGATTCAGCAACAAGAGATGATTGGAACAGCAGTGTAATAATTGTTGTATAGTGTTGTAAGAATATATGTTTTCCTCTTAATGCTATGTATGCTCAGTTTAGTCAGCGTTAGTTCATCATACGTAATAATGTACAAACTGCCTACAACAGGAGTTTCTAAAATCATAATTAAGAACTGATTTGATTATTTCATTGCTTCTTAGTCAATTTGATTCCTTCCTCCTCTCCACTTGTTTCTTTCATTTCATTCATGCCTCATCTGTATTAGGTTTTAGTACTTAATTTTTGTTAAGCCTTCTTCATTGATCTGTATAGTTTCTGCTTCAATATAAGGAGGATAAGAATACTGTGTCCAACACCCTTTTGCTTCAGTATGGTACTCTTACCTCCTATGATAGCTTGTGATGTTTGCGCTGGATGTGCTGGGGGAAATTTTATTCTTTCCCCTAGGACTTTGGAAACTAGTATGTGTTTCTGCGTAAGCTTTCTGGTAGGAGCCACATGCTTAGAGGTTGAGAAGATTTAGAGGTTCATCTACCTCTGCATTTTTTGAGAGACAAAGTATTGACTCTAGAGATTTGATGCTTATATTTCAGTCTGTGCTCTTCATCATGGGCTTTGTTTTCAGAAGCATGGCATCAGCAGTGAGCTGTGACTTGGAAGCAGCTTCTCATCTTTTGCTTATAAGATGTCTCTTTCGTGTGAATTTAAATAAAATCAGTAATGTGAGGTGCTCCTCCATAGGCTTTGTCACATGTGTTTCACTGTGCTACTCATGATACGATCTGTAACTGTTTTAACTGGTTTTAATTCAGTGTTGGCTCTAGAAAGAAGAGGGGAAACCTGGGGAAAGTTTCCAATCTTCCCTAAGATAATCTTTACTCTTTTTTTTTTCCTCCTGTAAATTATTTCATACTATATGATGATTGCCCCTTCCTAACACAGAATTACTGGTTCTTAAAATGCTGTGGAACACAGCAGGAGACTTGATCTGCTACAAGCTGCATGTGGACTGTTAGGAGTGAATTAACCACTAGTTTTCCGTGAACTTTAATAAGGTCCCTAAGCAAATTTGATATTTGTCACCTTTGTGCTATTTTGGGGACGTGCAGTCACAGCAAATGCTTATATAATATGTGGTTTTATTAGTGCAACCCTTTTCCCCCCTCCCTCTTCCTTAGTCCCTGTTCTATATCTGTTATCTTCTTGTCTCATGACAACTTTGTAAACATTCCTACTTGTTCGTTTTTGTGAGGGAGAAAAAACCCAAACCTCAAAATAAATGAGAATAATGTTTTTAGGGCACAATATAAAAAAAACCCAATAACCAACCCCAAACTTAATAGCAATTCAAATAGTGTAGAAAGCAATGTCTTCTCTCTTACTCAGATGAGATACGATCAGCTTGGTACATGAAAATCAGAGCGTAACGAACAGGTCTTATGCTGAAGGCTCTGGAGCCAAACATCTTCAGCAGGTGCTTAGGATAAATAAAGGTAGGCACAATCTGATCCTGAATTTGAGATACAATAAAGAGTGAGAAGGAGAGAGAAACCCAAACTTGACATTTAATAGTCCATTGCTTTCAAAATGATTTGTGAACATTAATAATCCCCAACTGCAGAAGGAAGGATTACTTCTGCACTTTATAGAGAAGGAGAGAGAGACACCTTGAATCAGCAGTTAAAAGTAGGTGTAGAAGTGTCTCTCTTCCGAACTGGGGCTGTGCTGGCTGTGTAACACAGTTGGAGAGATTCTACACAGACTTTGTTAATGGTGCATCTTAAAAGCTGAGGTATGTTGACAAACTGTGTGATTATCAAATAACTTCTGCTCAGCAGAAGTGTAGTAGTTGGTTCACAGAGACCTGCAGGATGTAGATGCTTGTGTCAGAAGGGCTCTGTGTGTCTAGAAGAAAGGAGACTTCCAGACTAATTTCTGCTCAGTCCCACTGAAATGAGAAAAGCAGTCATGTAGCATTTCTGAAAACTGGGTACTTAGTTCTTGTTGTTTATAGGTTTTATAATGGATTGTTTGGAGAGCCAACAAAGCTCAAAAGGACTGTGCAGGTAGAGATGTTGTGTATGAATTTCAATGGCAACAAAAGTAAGACTTCTAAAATGAAACTGAAAGAGGTACAAAAGTCAGCAGAATGTTTGAAAGTACTTTGTAGAAATGATGCCATATTCCTCTCTCTGTTTTTAACAGAGGGAGTTGGTTAAAAATGAATTTATACAAGTAATCAGGAAATCTCTGAATGCCACTTTAGAGTTTTTCCTGGTCTGTTGTTTTCCCTGTTAGCCACTTGGCCACCTGGGTAGATCTGTTTGACAGTGTCAGAGTGGTGCTGTCCAGCCTGAAAGGGTTCTTTTGTTGTTCTGGTTGTATTTTTGTGTTGTCTTTTTAAATCTGTCTATAATTTAACCATTTGTATTCTAAAAATAATCTTTAAATAATCTGCTTACACTGTGATTTATGATAGCCTTTAATTTAGAGTATACAACACAATCTAATTTTCTTTTGGGATATGCAGCTTTCAAAAGTGTTCTTATATATGCCCAGAAATGAAAGTTGTCTATTTATCATGAGAATGTGATTAGATAAAGTTACCTATCCAGAATCCCAGTGCAACTCTTCCAGATGTGCTGGATGGATGAGTTAGTGAAATTGCCTTTTAATCTCTATGGGTTGATAAATATTTTTTTATAACTAGCCACAGATATTCCTTTTTAA